GCGTGTTGATGGTCTTGAGCGGTCACTTTCCTCTCTCATGTTGGCAAAGGTCACTAAGCGTGACAGCACGCCGGGGTGAGGACGTGAGGAGGGCGCTGCCAGTGCCCTGGGCCCCACGTGTGCGGAGGGCCCCCTTGCTAGAGCTCCTGAAATGGCTGACACGTTGCCCAGGAGGCCTCGTCAGGCCACTCCTACAAACTTCTCAGGTGTCTGCGCACACAGCTGACCTGACGTGAGTAAAAGTTTTCCTTTGAAACATGGAATCGGAATATTGAAAACAACCCAAACGTCCATTAATAGAGGAATGGGTTAATAAATGACGGTACGTTCGTTGAATAGTATACGCTGCCCCCGATAAGACTAGGGGAGGTTCTTCCTTATTGATATGGAGCGAGTTCCACAAGGAAAGTGAAAACCACGGGGGGCAGGGCCGCACCGAGCAGCAGGCAGCGTCCCACCCTCTGTCCTTGAGCAGTGCGCCTCTGAAAGGGTACCCAGGGTACCGCTCACGATGACTGCCTCGCGGCGGGGACTGGGACGCCGGGGTCCAGGGGGGTGGGAGACACTTCTTGCAGGGTACTCGAGACAGGTCTCACTGCCTCCGCTCGGCTGCCAAGACGAAACGCCCCAGGCCGGGTGGGTTAGACACGGATGTTCACTTCTCTCAGTTCTGGAGGCTGAAGTCCAAGATCAAGGTGCTAGCAAGGTTGGCGTTGAAGACGCAGCTCTTCTTGGACTGAGACAGCTGCTTTCTCGCTGTGTCCTCGCGTGGTCCTTCTGCAGTGCACACGCGTGGAGGGGGAGAGAGACAGAGAGACAGAGACAGAGAGAGCGCACACGCGCCCTGGTGTCGCTCACTCTTCCGTTCAGGACACCAGTCCTATCAAATTAGGGCCACACCCTTATGGCCTCATTTGACTCTGAGCCCCTCCTTTGAAACCTTATCTCCAAATACAGTGACGCTGGGGGTTAACGCTCCGACATATGAACTGTGAGGGGACAAAGTTCAGTGCACACCGTCTCAAAGATGGAATACAATGCAATCCCCGTAGGCGGCCCTTAGGGACACGGCTCGTCTCCCCACCTCCCCTCGCTCACGGCCGCTCGGCACTGAAGCGTGTGGCCCACAGAGAAGCCCGCGTGTCACGTGGAGCAGTTCACGGCACCTTCACAAACTGACTCTCCACGCCACCTGCACCAGAGAAGGAACTGGAACGTGACCTGTCTCCCCCGGAGACCCCAGGCGTCCAGTCGGTAGCCCTTTCCTCAAGTCAGCATTCTCCCCGCTTCCAGCAGCATCGCTCGCTTCTGCCTGCTGTGAACCTGGTGTGCTTCTCCTGAGGGTCTCAGTTCGGGCTTGAGTCGCATGCCCACCGGCCTCAAGTAGGGTGACCAGCTGTCCGGGTTACCTGAGCCTGAGGGGGTACCGGGGACATGGGGCGTTCAGTCTCAAAACTGGGACAGTCCTGGGCAGGGCGGGCCTGTTACTCTCCGGAGGTTCAGGTGTAAAGAAACGAAGTACCGAAGTCAAGGGCGAGCTGCCAGAGTGCGCGGCCTCCCAGCTGTCGCGCGGATGTGCTCAGCTGGCCGAGAGCGTGCGGCTGCGGGCTTGTGTCTGCCTGCCGTGGGTACCGGAATTTCTGGGAAAGCACACTGTTGAGTCTGATCTCCAGGCTGGTCCCTGAACTTGACCTTGACCTGAGCCTCAGGGAGCGCCTTCCTCAGAGCCCCGCAGCCCTGCTCCCCCGAGCCCGTGCCCGCCCAGGGTGCTCCAGGGTAGAGACTCCTCTTAGGAATTTCCCATCCCGGGGGACAAAGGGTTCTGCTGACGAAGTGCGACTCTCTTTAGGAGCATCCCTGTATCGCCTTGCAGACACCTCTCTTCTGAAAACAGGAAGCAAATTTAGAACCGGTCTAGAAGAATAAGGAACGTAGTTAAATGGCATGAATGGAGCGCGACTGGGGTCTTCGGTTCCAGTTTAGCTTTTCACCTGTTCTCCCTTGAGCACAGCCCTCTCTCCCCTCAGTCCTTACAAAAACTGGGCGCCTTCCGGCACTTACCGTTATTCAAAGCAAACCCACCAGTAAACTGGGCTAAAGCAAAACGCGATTCATTCCTCAGCAAGAAGAGGACGAGGTGGCTTGAAGAAACCCCTGGAGGCACCAAGGGGAACCAGAAGGCGGCAGGACAACGGGATCCCGCTCCCGCGCCCGCGTCACCGCCGACCCTCTGCGACTCCGGAACCGCCCCCGGAGCTGTCCCAGGAGACCGCTTCCCCGCCCCGCTCCCCGCCGCCCGCGTCTCCCGCCTGCGTGCGGGACTCAGGGCCTCGGCGGCAAGGGTGTCTGCGGAAGGCGGTCCGGGGACGCGTCCGGAGGAGGCTGGCGGGAGGGCGCCGCCCCGTTCAGCCCCCCGCCCCGCCGCACCTGCCCTGCTCGCAAACCGCCCGCACAGCCCGCTCCCGCTGCTGCGGGCTCGGCCGCCCCGCGCGGGCGGAAAGCCAGCCACGCGGCGGAAGGAGCAAGGACGCACGCAGCCGGCGCGCCCCCCTCCCCCATTTGGCTACCCGTCCCCGGGGGACGACGTGGACACGGCAAGGGGCGGAGCAATGGCACCAGCCAATCAGGAAAGCCGGATGGCGGCACCGCCCCTGGGGCCCCGCCTCCACCCGGGGATCGCGGGGGCTGGGGTCTGGGGGGCGGGGACGGGCTTCGGGGCCTGGAGGGCGGTCCCGGTCCCGGTCCCGGTCCCGGGGGGGGGTTCCGGGTTTGCTGACGACCGCGCCCTCCTCGCGCGGGCTGCGAGGGGACGTCACCGCAGGAGGTCAGAGGTGATACAGCTTTTAAAATTTGTTGTGTCTCGGAGCATTTCCAACACACACACAAGTGGAGACAATAACGTGGTGAACCCCGCGTGTCCACTGCCACCTCAGCATTCCACTGTTTTCACACTCCCCTCACTTTTCAAAACTGAAGGCTTACTTGTTGGTTTTATAAATTTACCATTCTAACCATTAAAAAAAATTTCTTTTTGGGGGGGTTGGGGAGGTAATTGTTTACCTGTTTTTTTAAGGGAGGCGCTGGGGATTGGACCCAGGACCTCCTGCATGCTGAGCATGTGCTCCACCGCTGAGCTACACCCTCCCGCTCCTACTGGAGTATTTAGTGAATTAATTATTGTTTTCCTACTGGGGTATTTTAAAGCAGAGCCCAGAAGACATGTCGTTTTGCAGGGAGACATTTCAGTATGTGTATCTAATGGTAATTGAATGCTTTGCCCCTGGGGCCACTGTCCTGCGGCCCCCTTCCCCAGGCAGGCTGTGAATGCTGACCCTGCAGGCTCTGTTGTCTCTTGCAGACAAGGAAGACACTTGAGCCCCTGTAAATTCAGGGTGTCAGGCTGCAGGCAGAGTTCCGAGGGAGGCACAGGGCGCCACCGCCTGCTGCCACACAGCAAGGAAAATGCATTGGGAGAATCGCTCAGAGATGCTGCAGGCCCCCCTTCCCCCGGGTTTTGCCTCCAGGCTCGGGATGGGGGAGGGCCGCTGTGCGAGCCACACAGGGGTTCCTTCTAACCTCCTTAGAGTCAGCAGAGGCCGCCACCCCCTCCCCCATTCTGCTTTACCTCTGCACTTCACACCTAAGTGCTGCGAATGCCTGCGAGTCCTTTCTCAGCAAAAGAGGCACCTTCCAAGTCACGCTGTTACCCCAATAGGCGAAGAGGGGAGACCCCCTGTTCTTGTCATACCTGAAAGATACGTTTACAGTTGGGAGATGATGTGTTGTGCAGCGAAAGATTTTAGAAGATTGGTTCAGAAAAGGAAAAGCAGGCCTCTAAGAACGGGAGGCCGGCTGATCCTGGGAGGAAAAAGCAGCATTTTCTTTCTTTTTTTTTGGTCTCCCTTTTCTCTTTACCCTCACTCAGAGCTGGTCTTTTGATTGATGGATGGCTCACCCGTGGGCTGGGGGAGCCTAAACCGCAATGTTAATTGTAATGCAATGAGCCTTGGGTCGTGCCTGGTTAAGTCCTTTCTGCTACGTGGCAGGCATGGCTGTCGGGTTCAACCAGTCTTTTGCTGACACTCATTTAGAAGAAGTGAAGTCCCTTTACACTGCAGGCGGCCACAGCGCCATCTTCAGGACCTCCTCCCTCCCCTCCACCTGTCTGCCCGGTGCCCCCACTTGTCTGACCACCTAACACGCCAGTGCCCATTCCTGGGCTCTCAGATGTGCGCCTGCACTCCCTCCAAAGAGAAGGTGCCTCGTTTTCTGACGAGTGTTTGCCTTTGCAGGACTAGTAGCCCTGGAAACGGCTGCTCTCACGACAGCTCAGGCTGGTTTATTTCAGTCCATGTCTCCTCCTTATTGGAGTCATAAATCCCACGGCCCCCTCAGGGACTCCAACTTTCTCACCTCACCTACAACGGAGCAGAAACCTGTGCACAGGCTGATCACACAGCCCCCAGCCCACTGTGTTCAGTGACACCTTCCCCATGAAAGACCTCAGCAACTGGCCCTCGGGGCTCGCAGACGCCTCTGTCCGTCTGCCCGCTGCTGTCGGTAGCGGCATAGCTAATAAACTTCTCTTTCATTTTGCTTTGCTTCTGGTAAATTCTTTTACCACCTGAGGTATCAGTCTGCCTTGTCCCACAACACGTTGGGCTTGCCAAGTGGATGAAAAACACGTCACACGGTGCGTACCCAGTGTCCTCTCCCGGCACTCCCGGGGAACTGTTTCAAGGAGGAATTCTAGAAACACTGAAAGAGGACTCTTAATAGAAATGAAGCTTCCTGCCAAATACAGCAGAAATTTGTGCCATTAAAGCACAGAAAACTTTTGTTCCTAGTTCCAAGCCACCTTCTTTAGCTCCACTGATTATAAGGCCTCATTTTCTTTAAAATATAAAATTGTAATACAGCACAGACCTAGTGATTTAGTCATCAGCAGAGAACTATTTCCATAAATTTGTACAATTCCGCCTATTTTTGTGTCTAGATGCTCCAGGATTTCTTTATGCTGGGGAAAGTCCCTTGAGGCTAAGATACCATCATACTGAAGTGCGATTTTGATGTCACGAATTTTGTGTGCTCGCTGGTGGACCTGCCTGCAGACCTTCCTTCTAGAAATGGAACCCCAGTCCGTTGCCGGTAACACTGGGCAGGGGGGTCGGTCATGTGCCCCGTCTTCCCCACGCCGGGGGCAACCCGAGGCCTGGGCTGGCATCGTCAATTTCTTTTTAGGAACTGACATGACTGTTTGGAGAGACGGGGTTTAGCTCTTCTCTCCAGATGTCATTACTTATAAATAATGTCAGCCTAGACTTGCCCCTGGCCATCTTTGTTCTCACGTGGAGAGAGCTGGCCTGAGATGATGTGACAGAGAGGACGGCAGGCCCAGAGATGGAGGAGATGGGTTTTGATGACCCCATGAGAAGCCCTGGGGCCAGCCGTGCGTGGACCCAGACCCACACCTTAGGTTCTCGGCTAATTGAGCCAATGAGTCGGTTCCAGCTTTTCTTTTCTTAAGCTAGTTGTCTTTTTTCCTAACATAAAAAAATTTTTTTAATTGTGGTAAGAGACACATAACATAAAATTTACCGTCTTAATTATTTTTAAGTGTACAGTTCAGTGACATTAAGCACGTTCACATGACTGTGTAACTGTCACCAGCATCCATCTCCAGAACTTCTTCTTCTTCCCAAACTGATGCTCTGTGCCCGTTAAACACCAACTCCCCATTCCTCTTCCCCCGGCCCCTCGAACCGCCGTTCTGTTTTCTGTCTTTATGAATTTGACTCCTCTAGGAACCTCCTATAAATGGAATCACACAGTATTTGTCCCTCCTTGACCGGCCCATTTCATTTAGCATAATGTCCTTAAGGTTCACCCATGTTGTAGTGTGTGTCAGATTCCATTCCTATTTTTTTGTTGTTTTTTAAGATTTTATTCCATTTTTAAGGCTGAATAATATTCCACTGTACGGATAGACCATGCTTTGCTTATCCATCCATCCACCGATGGACACTTGGGTTGTTTTCACATTTTGGCAATTGTGAATAATGCTGCTGTGAACATGAGTCTGTTACCAAACTTTTAACTTTGAGAATAATTGTAGATTCACATACAAGTGTGAGAAATGGCACAGAGAGATCTTGTGTGCCCTTTACCCGGTCTCCCCAAGGGTAGCATCTTTCAAAACTGTCGTGTAGTATCACAGCCAGGATACTGACCCTGATGGGAACCACAGACGGTGTTCAGATTTCCTGATTTGCACCTGCTCATTTGTGCGTGTGTATGTGGTAGGGGTGTGTGCGTTTTATGCAGTTTTACCACGTGTAGGTTTGTGTACCCATACCACAGTCAGTGTGAAACAGCACATGAAACATCGCCCAGCTTAACATGGTTTTGCTTTCTTAAAACAGGTTGTTGATGAATCAAACCTGGAGCTGTTTTGCAGAGACAGCACCACGCATGTGCAAGCCGGGAACCTGTGCCTCCAGGGCGACCCCAGGAATCTTCAGTCTGTGGAGCTCAAAGGATAGAAATATTGTCATCAAAGTCCTTTACAAACCAAGAAGTTTTTCAATAAGGAAAATCTGGCTTCCAGCAGCATGAGGAGCTTACGTGGACTGATTTGAGACTAACCAATCAGCTTCCCAAATTTGAAATTTCCCTCACCCCTTAAGTTTCTCCCTGAACCCTGGATGGGAGAGACAGATTTGAGAGCTGAGCCTCCTCTCTCCTTGCCGGTGGGCCTTGCAATAAGCTCTTTCTTTTCTCAAAAGCCAGTGCCATAGTATTGGCTTTCATGTGTGCCGGGCAGCCAGCCCTTGCCCGGTGACAAAGGTGCCACCCGACTCTGTCACCACGTGGACCCCTTGTGTGGTAATTTCACACCACCTCCCTTTCACTGCCGCCTCCCTCCCCCGCCATCCTTAATGCCTGGCAGCCACCTTCATTTCTGTAGCTTTGTCATTTCAAGAATGATACACCAGTGGGATCATATGGTGTGTAACCTTTTAGGATTGGCTTTCTCGTTTAGCATAATTCCCTAGAGATTCATACAAGTTGTTGCTTGCGTCAGCAGTTCATTTAAAAAAAAATCCATTGAGTAGATTCTCTGGCATGTCACTCACGCCACAGTTTAAGAACACCCGGGCTGTTTCCAGTCTTGGCTATTACCCGTGACGCTGCTATAAACATTAGTGTGCAGGTCTCGATGTGAGCACAAGTCTTTGTTTCTTTGGATGAAGGTCCAATAGGGCAAGATTACGGATCCCATGGTAACTGCAAGTTTAGGTTTATAAGAAATTGCCAAGCTGTTTTTCAGTGAGGCGCTACCATTTTATATTCCCACCAGCAAAGTATGAATGACCCAGTTTCTCTGCACCTTCGTCAGCATATAGTGTTGTCACTCAGCTTTATTTTGATAAATGTGTTGTGATAGCTCACGGTGGTTTTAATCTGCATTTTCCCAATGAATAATAAAAGTGAACACCTTTTCGTGTACTTACCTGCCATCTGTGTGTCCTCTTCTGTGAAATGTCTGTTCATGTCTTTGCCCTAATTTTCTAATTGAAATTTTTTTAAATTGTGAGTGGAGCTGTATTTTCTAGATTCTAGTCCCTGGTTGGACACGTGGTTTGCAAATATTTATTCCTAGTCTGTACCTTATTTTTTCATTCTCTTAACAGGAACTTTAATAGATCAAATTTTTTTTTCTAGCTTAGATGACACCCAGTTTACCAATTTTTCCTTTCATGGATTACCCATATTTAATGTCAAGTGTCAGAATTCTTTGCCCAGTTCTGGATCCCAAAGATTTTTATCCTGTGTTTTTTCTTAAAAGTTTTACACTTAAGTTTATGATCCATTTGAACTTATTTTAACTTTACCACCTCTTTAAAGTCACTGTCTCCAAACACAGTCACACTCTGAGGTACTGGGGATCGGGGCTTCAGTATGTGAATTTCGGAGGATACCACTTAGCCCATAAGAATTTCAGCCCATGAAGATAGGCCTGGAGGTCGACAAAGAAACGTGAGAAAAGGCAGGGATCTCCGGTGTCTGAATGTAACCTTTTGCTCATTATGCCCTCATTATAGTAAAATTTGCCTGCAGATTAGAAGAACTCATCATGTGCTGACGTCATGACACTTCGGATCCAGACTAAATAAGGACAAAAGTCCCTCCTCCCTTCGGGAAGGTGGAGCTGGGATGAAAATCAGGGAATACGACCCCATCCCTTCCCTCCCCAGTGAACGCCCCGTTCATTTCTACACCCTGTGTAACCAAGTTGTCAGAGAAACTCAGGGCAGCCGCCCACCTGAGCCTGCCGCTCTCCCCTGGAGAGTGTGCTGACCATCCCTTGATAAATCCCCGCTTTACTTTCTTGACCTCTCTGTCTTGCCTCTGAATTCTTTCTGAGACGGGCCAGGAACTCAGACCCTGGTTGAATCTACTGGCAACGCAGGGATCTGTGCACAGTACTGACTCGCTTCCTTCAACTGAGATCCGAAGGACGCATGTGAAGTGGGACAGCCTTTGGCCAGCACGCCTGCCAGCTTTTGGTTCTTCCCTGAAGCTCCCTCTGCCCCTCTCGTCCGGGACCGGCTCAGTCTGCTAGGAGGTTTGTTTGTTTATTTGTTTTGCCCTCACACACCAGTGTAATCAAGAGCATGATGAAGCAAGACGGATTATTCAGTGTCCCTCTTGTCTGTCACTCCTGCTTTTCTCTTCTGGAACTGTGACATCTGTCTTTTCTGACGCCAAATGTGGAAAGTTTCCTGATACCAACCAGTTCTCCAGTTCTGACACCAGCTGGGTGCCCTACGATTCATTCAGTTCTGACAGTGACACTCGTCCCAGGTTGTCACCTGTGCTCCCGACCCACCAGCTATCAATTAAAGCTCCCGAGTCCCCTTCCTTAGGTTCAGTGATTCACTGAAAAGACCCACAGACCTTGTGTTTACTGTACTTGCATTTCCTGATTTGCTATAAAGAGTAAAACTTAGAACAGCCACATGGAAGAGAAACACAGGGCAAGATGGGGAGTGGGAGGGGCAGAGCTGCCTCCCAGCACACAACTGCATTCATTTAACATCCAAGGGTTTCTATAAGCCAGTCTCTGGCTGCCCCTCCCCATAGAGAAGTCTCGGAAGGTCCCCACCCTCCAATCTCCTGTTCGGTCTTTCTGGTGATCAGCCCCACCCTGAGGCCCCGCCCCGAGTCGCTCATTAGCATAAACTCTCAGGGGCTTCTTCTGAATAATAATGGACACTCGTACCACTCGGGAAATTCAGGGGTTTTAAGAGGTCTGCTGGGAACTGGGGACAAAGACCAAATACGTTTGGAACTCTGGTTGAACTAGTCATTTTAAGATTTCTTTCTGAGCGTTACGTTTCGTTGATAACTCCTCTTCCCTCAAATTCTGTCCTCCACTTCCTGTCTCTCTCTGCTTGTTTCCTCCTACTAAGATTGGCAGAAGATTGGAAAGATTAAGGGAAAAGGAGGAATAGAATACAGTTAAGAAACACAGACGGCAGACCTGAATATTAACATGTGGAAGAACTCACTTCACTATCGGAAGCATAGAATGTTCCTGGAAGGAACCTGGTAAGAGTGGGTGCCTCTGGGGAGGGAGGCTGGGGGATGAGACGTGTAATTCACGATTAAATTTTTAAATCCTTGTGTTGCGTAACCCATTAAAAAATCCCCCTCTCCTCTGTCTTCCCAAAAGTAGAATATAACTTCTAAATTAATACTGTTTAAAAGCAAAATTCAACCGAGTACATTTGAAGATCCAGTTGGTTTCATTAGGCAATGTGCGAGTCGGCAGCATCCCACCTAGCACCCAGAAGGGCACCCCGAGGGGGTGTGGAAAATGGAAGAGTTTTATAGGAGGAAGGGTGGGGCAAGGGAGCTGTTAGCAAAAGAAAGAGAAAGGATTATTTTTACGCCAGGACATTTTCTTGACAGATTTCCTTGTTGGTGCTGACCAGAAAATTCCAAACTGGTTGATGAAGATTACATTCTGGGAGAGGCTGAAACTGCAATTAGATCAGGGATTAAAACTAGGTTTGGCATCGTGGCCTTTTAGCATAAGTGAGGCCATTTGGGGACCGTGGTTTTCTTTTTAACGATTCAGAGGAAAAAGAATATGGAGCAAATATTATCAACTTACTAGAAAGTAAACAGAAAACGAAATCAGATGAAAGAAATAACCAAATATTTCTATAACCCAATAAATGAAAATGGATTAAACATAGCCAATAAAAGGAAAAGTTCATTTGGAATAAGAAAAACCAAATTATATGGTTTACTAGACAGACAGCTTAGACAGAATCAATGTCGACAGTGATATAAAACTTTAAAAAAAATAGTAACTAAAAGAAAGATGGTGCAGCAACATGGATTTAAGATAAATTAGACTGAAAAAAAAATACTGAAGGATTGAGAAGGCTCACTACTTGATGATGAAGTAATCATTACTGGGAAGACATAACATTCGTAAAAGCGTATGTCCTGGGCTGACCTAAAACAAACAGACTGTCAGTGATTTTTCTCCAGCAAAAAATTGGTTTCTTTGGTGACCAGCAAAGGACTGTAACTCTGGGTCTGCAACCACAGCAAGCCATGCGCAAGTCTCCATGCAGCAAGGAGAGGAGAGCTCTCTTTAAGAGGGGAAAAGGGAGTTGGGAGGGCTATAGCGAACCACGAGTCCGTTGGAGGAATTGAGTCTGAAGCAGAGTGGCTTTTCACTGGCCGAGCTGTGACGTCTCTCATGGGCTGAGCTCGTGCCAGGCAAGAAGAGGCAGTCTTCTTCCCCTTGGGCTCCGCCATCATCACAGGGTGTGAGAGCGCCCCCTTCTGGCCTCCTGACCTTATTTTAATTGAGGTTTTTCTATTAATTTTTATACTGTGAATGAAAAATACTGCAAACCCTATCAGTAAACAAAGAATGCTGAAGCCATCAAGTCATCAGCCACTGCCGCCCACCCCCTCACCCCCCCCCCCCAGTGAAGACCAGCCTGCAGCCCGGCCTCTGCAGCCACTCACAATGGTGCCCTCTGAGGGGACTCAGAGTAAGAAAGGACAGGACACTGGCCCTGGATCGCTAGGTGCTTGTCAAAGGAATGGATTCAATGAGCCCAAATGGTTGCTCTCTCCCATACATAGAAAAGCGCTACATTCTTTAACTTGAGATGCCTGGTTTTCTTTAGATAACAAACAGTCTTTTATTGTTCCAACTACCTGGTCTTTGTTGTAAAGCTCCTATACATCCTGGCTCCTCCCCTACCTCTTGGGAGCAGCCCCTCAGAGCCATCTGAGGGGCTGTCATCCCAGCTCGAGTCCTCCCGCCAAATAAAACATAAGTCTCAACTTCTAGGCTGCATATTTATTTCAGCTGACGATACTTAACCACTTTTCTTCCACATGTAATAAAGCAAAAATCTACAAAGATAACGGCAGATTTTAACACATCTCTTCCAGAAATGAACAGATCTGTCAGATAAATATTTAGTAAAGATATGAAATATCTGAAGAACAAAATTAAAAGCTGGAAAGAGAGCGCATTCTTAGGACCCAGTGCCAAACGAATAATGATAATAACTGCTAACATTTGTGGGCGTACTTACCGTGTGCCCAGCAGAGTCCTACGCACTTTGTGTGACCAACTCCTGCTAACTTAGGAGCTGAGGAAACTGAAGCGGAGAGGAGTTGAGTAACTGACTCAGGATCACTCAGCTAGTAAGAGGCACAGCTGGATCTGAGCTCACCTGAAGCCAGATCCCAAGTTCTTCTCTGCTCGACCAGAGTCTGGAAATGTTTACTATAGAGGGTCAGATAGAAAATATTTTGGCTTTCTGTGGGTCACGTAGTCTGTGTCACAATGGCTCAACTCTGCAGTCATCATGTGAAGTAGACATCATATAAACGAGGGGCGGCTCTGTAGCCCAGGAGACCTTTCTTTACACAACGCAGGCAGGTGATTGCACTTAGGCTGTAGGCTGTTCACCAACTCCTGCACTAAAGTCTACCGCACGTGCACCACTGATAGCTTGTGTAGAAGAGTTAGAAGAACCGAGGGCACGTGGAGCCACAGGGACGCACTTGCAACATTAGGGACGCCGCATTCCCTGACCACGAGCTGACACTGTGCTGCGTGTGGCCCCTGTGAACAGTCCTGCGCAGGCCAGCGTGGCACCTGCTTTCGTTTCCCTTGTGTGGATACCAGGGATGAACTCGCTGAGTCATATGGTGTATGCACGCTGGACTTCTTAACCCAGTGCCAAGCTGTTTGCAGAAGTAACTGTCCCATTGTACGTCCTCGCCAGCAGCCGCGTGTGAGAGTTCTAGTCTCTCCACGTTCTCACCAGGGCTTGGTATGGTGGGTCTTTTTAATTTTCGACATTTGAATAGGTGTGTAGTGACATCTCATTGAAGTTGTAATTTGCATTTCCCTCCTGATGAATAATAACGTTGAACATCTTATTTTGTACTTATTT